CTTAAAAACAAAGAATGGGAAGAGCCGAAATTTTTATAACAGGGAATGAGAAAAGCCGGGATCTTTAAAACAAGGAACGAGGAAAGCCGGAATCGTTAAAACAAGGATAGAGAAAAGCCGGAATCTTACGGCTGAAAGTTTGTAACTAAATTAGTTACTCAATTTCCGCGCGAAATACAAAATATGGCAATTTGGCATGGCTATATTTCCGTACTTTACCAATTAAAGTTGTCAAAGATCTTTTCCGTCAGTTCACTCAATTGCTTTCAAAGAAGATGCTCGAAAATTTTGTCAACGGTTATCAGTATGGTAACCGGTGCTCTAATTGGTTTTGGAAAGGCGATCGCCCTTTTTGTGCACTGAAATCCATTCATCCCGTTTCCAGTCCAACGGTCACACTCCATGTCGGATTACTTTATTGTATAATGCATTAAGCTTGCCTCCTCCGCAGGCATCTCTTATGTATTTATATTAGGCATTTATAATTGGCTTTGGTTAGCTTTGTCGGGGAGCGAGAAAAAAATTGCTGATCTCTCCCACTTTTTCCTCACCTTCCCCGACACAGCTAACTCAAGCGAAATATAAATGCCTAATGTTAATACATAAGATATGCTTGCGGAGGAGGCTAGCATTAAGCATAGTAGAGACTTCTTCTGCTATCTTTCGTTAAGCAATAGGAGGTATAATATCGGGTCCTGTAGCCTTGTTGGGATTTAGCTCTTGGTTTGAATGGCCAACAACATTCCATCATAATCAAATTAATTTTAATGTAATAAATATATCTAGTTATGTTAGTTATTAAGTTAATAAAAGGATACTGTACGAGTGACTGCTAATCAGTTAAGCGTCAGGAGAAGTACGAGATAGAACGAACGGTTGATTTACAAATAGTTGTGTTAGACAAAGTCCTACGGGGATCCACCCTTCAGGTACTGAACTTTATCTGTTTGCATGTATGTTTGTAGTGTGATTAGTGTTTATGTTAATGTTTAAGTTTAGTTTGATTCATCGTATGAACTAAGAAAATTATTGGAATGCATGTATCTTTATACCTTTTACTTATATATAGTTAAACTTAATCTTTTCTATAGAATATATTTTCAAATATTAAAGAAATTCCCGTTCGACTTGCGTTTAAAGTAGCAGTGCCAAACAACTTCTGAAGGATATGTGTGCCGTTTAGTAGGCAAAGAGAGTGTTTGGTACAAGTAATTTGAGAATCAGAGAGTTATTACGAAATGTCGGACTCAGAATCAGCCTCTGTAGCCGAAACCCCTGAACTTCAGAGTACAATTAAAACTAAGCGAAAGCAGTTAAGAGCCAGGATAACCCGTTCCATAAAACGTATTAAGGAGTACATTCAACAGAACAGTGAGAACAAAAAACGATTTGATAAAGAGATAAGGGAACTGAGATGCGATTTTGGAAAGGCACGCGATTTGCACACGCAATTGTACGATTTCGCAGACGAAACGCAAACAGCAGCACTAGATAAATGGGAAAATGAATTAACGAATGACGTTTATTCGATAGAAGAAGAAATTGAACTGTATCTTAGTACACTTTCAATGCCGGGGGCATCCCAAATCCCAAGTACCACGGAAATATGCAAAGTATGCAAGATATGCCGCCTCTTGAAGAGCCTGAAACTCGGTCTACAAATACGGACAACATTCCAGCAAACGAAGTAAATATAATCCCACAAGTGAATGAATCCCCACAAGAAAATGTAGTTCCACAAGCAAACGAATCCTCCCCAGTAAACGAACCCCCCCCCAGTTTGCCCCGTTTCAACACGAGTTAGTTTAAATCCAAACCCAGCGCCATCTACAACAAGTTCCCGTCCCTTTGATGCATGAATAGACGATTTGACAGAGTTTAAGGAAACCGTATTGCCTGAAGTGTCACAAGCCGTGTCAATAGCTGATGCACTTTATAAATTAGAAGCCAGTAGGGATATACCGACCATCAAACTTCCTAAATTTAGCGGCAACGCGCTTGTCTATGCTGATTTCATAGACCGGTTCAAAATCCATATTCACGACAAACCACATTTGACAGACGATAGGCGAATGATTCAGCTAAAAATGCATGTTACTGGAGACGCAGAACGCGCGATCTCAGGTGTTGGTTCCAAGGGCGTTATGTATGCAACGGCATTAAAGATTTTAAAGGAACAGTTCGGACAGCCAAGCACAATTGCACGTTGTTTGGTAAATCGGCTTACCAAAGGTGATAAAATCCAAAGGAATGACAGGAATGCGCTTCGAGAACTTTCGATTGATTTAGTTAATTGCGTGGCGACGATGCATCAAGTCAAGTACTTCGCTGACGTAAACGCGAGCGATAATTTGCGAAAGATAGTAATGAGATTACCGGATTATCTCATCCAAAAATGGAAAGGCGTTGTTATAGAGATTAGAGACAAGCAGCGAGCCGCAACGATTAACGATATAGCCACCTTCCTCAGAAAACAAGTTAAGGCGGAGTTTGATCCTGATTTTGGCGACGTAACGCTAAGACCCCCCAAGTACGACACGCGAAGAGGCGATGGAAAGGACAGAAATGACATACATTCAACACAAAAAACCTTGAAATGCTTCGTGTGTGATGGAGATCACAAAGTCGTAGAGTGTCCCACCCTAGCTGATTCCACGGTTCCAGAACGCTTGACCTTAGCGAAGAATGCAAGATTGTGCTTCTCGTGTTTAAACAAAGGACATACGTCGAAGGAGTGTAGATCTAAGAAAAGATGCGAGAAAGACGGATGCACCCGTATGCACCACCAACTGTTGCACGAAGAACCTGGGACGATGGGAGCTATGTCATCTATATTAGACAGAGGAAGCATTTTACCAGTCGTCAGAGTTTGTTTTAAAGCGCCAAATGGTTGAACACGCGAAGGAAATGTACTCATCGATAGCGGGGCGGGTACAACGGTTATAAGAAAGGATTTTGCACGATCTCTTGGCTTGCAAGGAAAACGAGAGAAGATAAGTCTAGCTGTAGTTGGAGGAGAGAAAGTCGACGAGCCAGAAAGCAGAAGAGTGTCATTTTCCATCTCAGCACTAAACGGTTCTGAAGAGCATAAAATTGAAGCCCATGAGATTGCGAGAACTGTTCTAAGTGTTCCACGTTTGGATCGGTCGTGGCTGAAGTCGTTCACCCATCTTCGAGACGTCGAATTTGCGCATAAAGCTGGTCCAATCGATCTTATCTTGGGAGTCCAGTACAGTCATTTACACGCAGAAGATGAAGTGCGTCAAGGTCGTCAGTTTGAGCCTGTCGCGAAACGAACAAAGGTTGGCTGGTTTGTCATTGGTGCTGATAGTTCAAAGAAGACATCCAACTTATATACTCAGTACGTCTGGTCCAACCTGTTAATCTTGAAAAATTCTACGAGTTCGAAACCCTCGGTATTCAAGCCCCTCAGTGTCAATGTCCCGAATCAGCTATGTCAATTGAAGATAGAAAGGCGATCGAGTTAATGGAGAATTCCTGTAAGAAAAGGGGAGAAAGATACGAAATTGGTCTTCCTTGGAAGAAAGATAAGGGTTTTCTACCCAATAACTATGTTCTTGCCGAGAAAAGGTTGCATTCGCTGGAAAGAAGTTTGCGAAAGAACGGTGATAAAGCTCGTTTGTACCATGAAGTCATGAACGAATACGAGAGAAATGGTTGGTCGCGTCAGTTATCGAAAGAAGAAGTCGAAAACAAAGACAAACCGGAGTATTACCTGCCTCATCACGGAGTTTATCGACCGGAGAAAAAGAGTACCCCTTGAGAGTCGTATTTGACCCTGCTTGTCAATATCATGGTGTGTCGTTGAATTCGTTCCTTTACAAAGGTCCCTGCCTAATTGGAAATCTGCTTGGAGTGTTATTACGCTTTAGAGAAGATCTCGTTGGTCTCGTCGGAGATATTTCGAAAATGTATTTGCAAATCCTCCTTCCGAAAGAAGACACGCTGGTCCATCGTTATTTATGAAGAGATTTGGATGAAAGTCGCGATCCAAAGGTTTATGCGCTTCAAAGAGTTACGTTTGGAGACAAACCATCACCTGACATGGCAAGCTTTGTTATGATCAGAATTGCGAATGAAGACGAGTCTCAGTATCCACGAGCTGCTGTGATTCTCAAACGTGACCGATACATGGATGATCTCATCAATTCAACGAATTCAAAAAGCGAAGCAGAGAAAAGCATAAACGAAGTCGACAGTGTGTTGGCTACAGGAAGCTTTAAAATAAAGGAATGGTTCGTTTCATCGCCAAGTGAAGACGAACGAGACAAGGACGTTTCAAGTCCTGAAGAAAGGAATTCAAAGCAGGACGAGATTGAGCTAAATAAAGGAAGTACAGCGACAAACGAAGTTAACCTTGACGGTGAAGAGGGAATCAAAACCTTAGGAGTCAACTGGAATCCGCAGTCGGATGAGTTTAGTTTCTCGGTAAAGAAGATAAATGACGAAGAAGCGTTAACAAAGCGAACAGTTCTTTCGAGAATTTCACGTCTGTTTGACCCTCTGGGTTAGGCCTCCGTGGTAACCATCAAGGCAAGAGTTGCTCTCCAAGAAATTTGGAAGGCAAAGAAGTACGACTGGGATGATCCATTGCCTGATGAAATGCGCGATTTGTGGTACAAACTTTTCAGAGAGCTGGAAGAGTTAAATGAGATTGCAATCCCACGTTGTTTACGTCCTCGCGAGATTTGTGGACCATCCGAATTGCACGTTTTCGCCGACGCAAGTGCTACAGCTTATGGAGCAGTAGCTTATCTTCTCTGGCCTACTTCCAAAGGTCCTAAAGTGAGTCTAATCGCCTCGAGAGTTAGAGTTGCCCCTTTACGTCAGGCAACTATTCCACGATTAGAACTTATGGCATCATTGGTTGCTTCGAGATTGGCAACTACCATTTACAACGAGTTTAAGACGAAGCCAGAAGTGGTTAAGCTGTGGTCCGATTCAAAGCTAGTTTGCATTGATTGCAGTCCGATTCTACAATGTTGAAAGCGTTCGTGGGCGTTCGTGTAGCTGAGATACAGTCAACGTGGGAGTCAAGTCATTGGCAACATGTTCCTTCCGCCTTGAACCCGGCAGATGATCTAAGCCGAGGAATAAAAGTCAAAGACATGCCTGGTCGATGGTTTCAAGGACCGAAATTCCTTAAGTTGCCAGAAAGTGAATGGCCAAACGAGAGCGTGGAAACTGATACAGAGAATGACACAGAAAGAAAGAAACCCAAAATTGTGGGCAGTGTCAATCCCGAAACCCCATGTATTGATCCAAAGAAGTATTCAGATTGGCAACGGTTAGTCAGAATTACGGCTTATTGTATCCGTTTTGGTCGTAACGCTCGAGTCAGTGTACAAGATAAGTCGAGAATAGAGTTGGGTCCTCTTCAACCTGGTGAATTAAACGAGGCCAAAGAATTCTGGATTCGAAGAGCACAGAGCACGATAGTCGACTGGAAAAATCATTGCAAGGATCTTGTACCCTTCGTCGAGAACAACATCATCCGAGTTGGTGGACGCCTCAAGAGAGCTTCCCTTCCCTATGATCAAACACATCCCATCCTGTTACCCGGAAACCACCACGTATCAAAGTTAATAATGGAAGAATTCCACGAGAAAGTTTGCCACGCTGGCTGTGAAAGAAGCCTTTCTGAAAGTAGACGTGAGTATTGGATTATTGGCGGACGGCGTATGGTAAAGAAAATCATCAAGAACTGTTTGATATGTCGTAAGTTTCGTCAGCGACCCCACTCCACCTTGATGGCAGACCTTCCTCGAGAGCGAGTGAAACCATTTTCCCCACCATTTACAGTAACTGGCGTGGATCTGTTCGGTCCATTCAGTCTTAAAGTTTCGAGAAACAAGAGTGTTAAAGCCTGGGGTGCAATTTTCACTTGTGCTACAGTACGGGCTATCCATTTAGAAATCGTCGAGAGTATGTCAGCCGAAGCCTTTCTCCACGCGATGAGACGATTCGCTTCCCATCATGGTTGGCCAAGCACGATAATTTCCGATAACGGTACGTCGTTTGTTGGAACAGAGAGATTATTAAGAGAGCTATTTACAAAGTTGCAAAAGAAGCTCGAAGATTTCGCAACCCTACATCAACTTCGCTGGATTTTTACCACGCCCCGTAGCCCTCATCAAGGCGGAATTTATGAAAGCTTGATAAAACAAGTGAAACGTGCCATTCGAGTGGTGATCGGAAGCCAACGGTTATCTTGGAACGAAATGAACACAGTGTTTGCCGAAGTAAAGTCGTTGATCAACGGAAGACCCTAGGATACCCATCGAACGATCCAATGATTTACAACCCCTTACCCCTAACCATTTCCTCATCGGTCGAGCATCGAACAGCGTTCCTCACGGGTCATTCGAAAGAAGTGAAATCTTAAGTCGAAGGTTTGAGTTTGTCCAAAGCCTGGTTCAGCAATTTTGGAAGAGATTTATTCCAGAGTATCTCCCGACGTTGCAGAAAAGAGGAAAATGGCGATTAAAAGAACGACAGATGAAGATTGGCGACTTGGTCTTGATGGTCGATTATGAGACACCGCGCGGGAAATGGAAGTTAGCCCGAGTTGAAGAAGTTTACCCTGGAAAGGATGGTGTGGTAAGGAATGTTTTGGTCAAAACGCAGCATGGTCATTACAAAAGGTCGGTGCAACGTTTATGTGTTTTAATAGAAGCTAGTAGCCCATGAACGAGCATCCACGAACTGTGGCCCCGGAGGGTTGGTTTGAATAGCCAACAAAATTCCATCATAATCAAATTAATTTTAATGTAATAAATATATCTAGTTATGTTAGTTATTAAGTTAATAAAAGGATACTGTACGAGTGACTGCTAATCAGTTAAGCGTCAGGAGAAGTACGAGATAGAACGAACGGTTGATTTACAAATAGTTGTGTTAGACAAAGTCCTACGGGGATCCACCCTTCAGGTACTGAACTTTATCTGTTTGCATGTATGTTTGTAGTGTGATTAGTGTTTATGTTAATGTTTAAGTTTAGTTTGATTCATCGTATGAACTAAGAAAATGATTGGAATGCATGTATCTTTATACCTTTTACTTATATATAGTTAAACTTAATCTTTTCTATAGAATATATTTTCAATAAATATTAAAGAAATTCCCGTTCGACTTGCGTTTAAAGTAGCAGTGCCAAACAGCTCTCGTAATGAACCCAAAACGTCAGAACATGTAATCTCTCTAAAGCTGAATAAATTATCGTACCATTTTTCTTGAATTTTACTACGCTACTAGTTGTGTGTAGGGTATTGAGCGTTGCATTTCAATACATGAAATCGGTGCTGTTATCAGAAAAATCCATAACTTATCTACTCGTTCACATATATCAAAAGAAGATGGCAGCAGTAATTGAAAATGTAAACATGTCTTAATATGTACCTCTCCAATAGCGACATCTCTCTGATATGAACATATCAAGTCAAGTCCGGAATTGCAAAGTTAACCCATCCCCTGCTAATGATGTGATTTATTGCAAGTGCGTGAAGAGATAAACAATTGTGATATCAACAGCCCGTGTAACTCAGGTATATTTACTAGTCAAGGCCCTGCAAAGGAGTTTGTGTGCATTTCATGCAAAACAGGTTATCTCAATTGTTTTCGGGTAAAATGACCATGGCGGTCATAACCGCCATAGCTCTAAATCCTGAATTATCAAAGCTACAGTCTTTCTGAATTGCTTATATGGTTCAGAATGGTTGCTTTTAGGGGTGGTCACTGGAGGGTGAAATTATCATCAGTTTTATATTTTACAAGCAAATTATGTTTACCATTCCAGGTCAACTGCTAATTAGGCATAAAATTACTGATTCACCCGGAAAAGTCTAATTTTTTCTATTTTCTAAAAATGTTCGCCATTGATGAAAAAAATGCTTTTAATATATTTATTATAAATTTCCAAAGAAATAACGATGTTTTGTTGCGATACGACATATTTCATTCACTTAACCCCCACTAAAACACAATTTCAGCCATATTTTGCAAATTTAATCGCTGTTTTTCGTCGTCCGTCGCAAGCGCCTTCTAAACATGGTACTCTAACACGACTCTAGTTGACTAAAGAATTCTTTCCGCCATTGATTTCATCAATTATGTCGCCATTGCAATGGCATAATCCTCAACAACTCCACCAAGTCCACCTTCGTCAATCAAGCCATTTTCAATATTGTAGTAAATCACATCTGTAAGTCAAAAGCAATTGCTTGTCAATACAAAACAACTTTATACTGAAATATGTAAAGTAGAATGGATATTAGAATAAAAACAAATTAAAAAAAAATGTTCGTGATATTTGTAGCAATACAATCGACTTGCAAACTTCAACAAATGTTTTAATTCCCATCGACAACTCTGGTGACGGGTTGCAAATTTTAAGGTTGGGAAGGTTTGACTTGGCTTTCTTTGATAATTTTCCACTTGGTGAGTTTTTCTCTCCAAATGTTGCACTTTCTCTTCATGTCATAGATGTTTCAAAATATAAAGTGATTTTTTTATAGAGATGAATGAAAGAGTGCAATGGAATAATGGTTTTCAGTCGAGGCCTAAAGAGAAGTCTTTCAGCACTTTTTGTAAATAGTATAGCTAGTAATTTTCAATAAGTGACCGTAAGTAAGAACGGGTTCAAACGGCTCACTCCTTTCACTTACTTGCGAATGCCACTACAGAGAGAAAGATACATAAATATATGCGAGTGAATAATACTGATTATTACTGAAAATGAAAAAAATGAGGAATGATCTAGCAACGGCTTCAGCCAGTGCTTCTTCTCTCAGCAATAAAAAACTCCATAATTCGAAACTCGCTAAAGTGCAAAATTAATGTTTCGAAGTTTTCTGAGCGTCATTTAGTAATACCAGCAAAGTGGTGTTGAAGGTTTTGAGGTATACGATACTTCATCAAATTTAGATTAAAATTTAAATTACAATTAATGTATCCTACCTTTCATTTGTGCTATCGGAAACTGCAGTAGAACGAGATTGAAGCTATAAACACAAATTGAAAATACCAGTTACGGATTTTTGTTAAGCGTTGCAAAGTATTCTACAAACATCGTGCTTATAAAATGTCTCAATATTTTGAACCATGTTTCATGGTATTTGTTTTCAAGAAATAATAGATGGACAGAAGAAACAAAAATGAGGCTCACATCAAATCTCATAGTTGGAGAAAGAATAAAATTAGACCTCTAGATGTCACCCAACCAGGTTGATCTTTTTTGTTATTTTCGGAATAATTTTATTCATAAAAATTTTATCATGTTCGCTCTCTGTTGTCATTTCCTACCATCTGTTGAGACCTCTGTGCCGCTAGGCAAGCTACAGCGAAAGAGCACTGGCTTCTACTGTGATATCTTATCTGTGAAGTCTTATCAGTGCCCGTTTCGTTGAAGAAACGATGAACCAAGATTCAACTTCGCGTCATAAAATCTTTGAAACATCAGCCCGACTTTCTTCATATTTCAACTGAAGGCCTTTCCGTGAAGTACTTTAGATAAAAAAGTCATTTATATCCGGATTGGGTTCTCCTCCAGGGCAAGAGTCGTGCATTGACCACGTGATAACGAAACATTCTGAGCTCATCAGTGAAGGATGAACAGTTGTAAAGGTTTTATTGCAACTCATAAGAATTACCAAAGGATATTTTTGTAAAATCTATTATATTACGAGCGTCTTTCCTTAAGTCTAGCGACCTACATTGTTCCGGTACCGCATGAGAAACTCTAGCTCGAATCCTCTTGATCTGACGTATTCTTTGTAACCAATTACAGCCTAGGTATCTGTAGTTTTCTTCTGATTTTGGTGAATAACTGACGCAATCTTAAAAAGAAAAACATTCGTATACCGTCAATATCACATCCGGACATTTAAATTACCCTAAGTTACTGACCAAATTTATTTAACATGCATTGCAATATGACGAACCAACTTCGACAGGTTTTTATCGGAAATAACTCTAGGGCCATGATTTGTATTGTTTAGAATATCCCTGAGTTTAGCTTTAACGTTCAAACACACGATATTACTGTCGTTATCAATGGAAATGTCAAATACGTTCCTAAGAGCTTTCACTAGAAGAATATTAAAACTTGGTCGCTCTTGCAAATATATTTTGTTGTTTAAGCATGAATACGCTGGGCAGACAGTGTATGCCAATTTAAACAATGATACTGAAAGAATTTTCCTTACCTGACTAATTGAGGCCTCGTTTTTGTTTCTCTTAAGCTCAACTTTTAAAACCTCAGGCTCCGTGCCCTTCTGCAGTGAATCATCTCACACAAACACTTTTCCTGCCGAACAATATGCGCATGACATGTTCGAAGTTGCCCGCTTGTTGACTGTAACCGTGATCAACACATTGCCAAGCAACCAACTTCTTGACGCTCCATTGCGCAGGAGTCATTAAACAACTGCAGTTCTATAAAAACAACAAAATAGTCATCTTCCCTGAAACACAGTGCAGAAAAATACGAAACCAACATACAGACCTTTTTGGTTGGGTCAAATAAAAAGAAAATGTATATTTGACCATCATATCACCCACGATTTCCATCATCTCTGAACTAAGTGTGTTGCTTGAGTCTTCCTTTGATTTCTCAAGGGAGTTTGGGAGTGAATGGAATTTGGTGGGGGGATTAGTGACTAAGGGTATGGGTTTGCAGCATCTGAAGATATATCTGCGTTGTTAAGACTCTAAAGGAATACAAGGACAAATGATTGAAAACGAGCTTGCATATAAGCAAAATTATGTAACATGAAATGGACAAGTTTATGTAACAACACTGCCTAAGCTGTATAAAGTTTAAACACCACTTCTTAATATCTATTGAAAATTTAGCAAGCAATCTCCGTGGCCATAGAATGACATGTGGACTTACTTTTGTAATCAATGGCACGAATTGTTTTCTTAACAACAGTGGACAGTTGACAAACCAGGATGAAATGACATTATCAGCAAGAGTTACCGTGTATTGAGAGTATCTAAGGTGAAACATATCAGTTCGTTTATATTTTATTCAATTTCACAAAATCAATAATAAAAAGTTTGAGATGTTATCGCGTTAAACAAACCTCGATGATGCTGTGTGAGGCAAACATATTCCAATGACTTGTTTCAAATGGATCGCTGTGAAGTTTTTGTACTAATCACGAAGCTTTGAAAATGCTATTTAAACGTTTTAAAAGAATGTTAGCAACTTTTCGTCGAATACGATTGAGTGTTTATACAACCTAGCTCTCTTTAGGGGGTACATTGATAT